TTACTCTCTGGCACCACCTAAATGCAGCCCCAAGTAACACAAAACCATCAGTTCCCTTTCAGAGCACGCCTTTCCCTGCACCCTGAATGGGACTCTCCCAGTATCATAGAAGCATATAGAATCATTTGGGTGGTGTCCTCAGAAGTGTCCTCACGAGGAGATGCAGGCTGCCAGCAGGCACCATTACCTGCCATTCGCCAGTCAGAAATACACCTCCTCAAGTGGCCACCAGGTCTTTGTGCCTTGGCAAGGCACCTGCAGCCTGTTCCAGATCATCATGTACCGGCTGCCTTCATTAGCGTTGTTGAGAGGTCTTCTGCTGCCAATGATGGTGCTGCAGTGCCCCATCACCAGCCACCTACCCACATCACACCCCTGAAAATTAGAGGCAAAGAACAAAAGAAGTTTCCATCTTTGATATGTTCGCAGCAGCTCCTGAGTCCTCCCAACACACAGGCTGAGGTGGGGAGCTAGGGCCAAGGCTATAATTGACGTTATGAAGAGAGGAGGAGGCTCCGGGGAGACCTAATAGCAGCCTTCCAGTACCTGAAGGGAGCCTACAGGAAGGCTGGGGAGAACCTGTTTAGAAAGGCCTGTAGGGACAGGACGAGGGGTAATGGCTTCAAGCTGGAGGGGAACAGATTTAGATTGGAGATTAGAAGGGGGTTCTTTACTGTGAGGGTAGTGGAGCACTGGAACAGGTTGCCCAGGGAGGTGGTTGAGGCCCCATCCCTGGAGATATTCAAGGAGAGGCTCGACGAGGCCCTGGGCAACCTGGTCTAGTTGGGGGTGTCCCTGCTGACTGCGGGGGAGTCGGACTAGATGACCTTTGGAGGCGAATGGGCGAATGCAATCACCTGCTAACCCCACTGGAAGGTCTGCTTTCACTACCTCCCATTTGATAAAAACTGTTTCCAAATATCTCCCTTCTACTAAGCATCTGTGTATCCTCAGATGCATTTCTGCATCTTTCAAGGTTGAATTTCACTTCATTTCATTTTTCCCTCTATTTTCCTAACCCCCAAAACCACAGACCAAAACCACAAGGAGACTCAGGCACTCTCAAGAGCTTAAAAAGTGGAGGAATGCTGACAGACCAAGATTACCCATGGTCTCTCCTCTTACAGCTATTGATTTAGTTGGGGTAAGAGAAGGGCTTTTGTACTGTGCCTCTGCCAAAAAATTAAAGGGTAAAAAGAAACCACTGACAAACAAAGTGCAGATTTGGCCAGGTCCTACTTCAGATCCTGTAAAAGGCTTTTTTTCATCTTTTATGGACGGCAGGAATGTTTTTACACACTGGGACCTCCCAGTGAATGTCCTTTTCCCTTCTAGAAGGCAAGAATAAGGTAAGCTTGGACCACCAACTTCACATGAAAGAGGAGGGTCCAGCAGGATGTCACCTGTTTTTCTTCTATACCTGTGCCTGGGGTACATTTCTGCTGCTGTTTCAGAAGCCTGCAGCTCTTCCCTGCTCTCTGCCAGCTATTTGGCAGCTCACCCCATCGCCCAGAAGCATCTCAAGGCAGAGGTGAGCAGTCTCCACAGCCCTCTGACCCTGCAGATGCAGTGCCCTGCAGTCCCCGTTAACATTTATTCGCAGAATTTTCTCCAGTGGTTTGTCACAGGATGAAATTACCTCTAAAGTGCTATCGCAGGTCTGGAAACTGTGGATTTTTAACTCTGGGGTATTTTTTCTTTTCTTTGGCAAAAGACAAGGTCAAGCATTTCGTTGACTACAAAAACACATCAAAGGAAAAGGGTGAGCAAAAAAAAAAAAAAAAAGCCAACCCTCTGTATAAAGCACTTCAGAGTACACACAGAGCGTATTAGAGAGCAAAAGGAGCTTTCTGGCTCCTATCTGGCTGTTGTTGCAATTGTTAATGTGGTTTTGTTCCATTATTAATGACACCAGAAAGAGAAATCAAGCCTTCCAGACAAACTTGAGAGACTCTCAGACGGCAAAGAGAAGGAAAGGGGAAAAAAACCCTTTAAAATAATGGAAATAAGCAAAGGGAAGAGGCGGAGAAACTTAATATGCCAGGCAAGCAGCAATAAAAATGTGCAGGTGTCTGTAGCACTGTAGGGATGGTCAACCCAATCTTTTATAGAGCTTGTAAATCATTCCCAGAGCCTCCTAGTTTAAGGGCATTTTGCAATTAAACAAGGATAAACTAATTGCTTACAGCCTGTACTATATTGCTTGATGCATTTGTGTTTCCTAGAACTGCTGTTTGACAAGCAGGGAAAAATAAAATCAGAAGAGCAGCATTAATGGACAAAACGCCTGTAACCCGGAGCGGCTCATCATTAGACTCATCTGAATGTGGTTGGACAGGATTTCAATAAAAAGCTTTGTTAGGAAAATACACCATGAATATGCCGAGGTAAGTAATCTCAGGATTAACACTCCAATCTGGCATTCCTGTAAATGTGCTCTGAGCTAGTGACCAAATCAGCATCCCTGCAGAAGAGCCGGGCAGGGCGCACCCCTGTCCTCCCACCCAGCAGAAATGACTCCATTGATGAAGCCTTGCTCTGATGCCCAAGCACCAAAGCACCAAGGCCTGGGACCTACCACCTGGTCCACAGCATCCTCTTCAAACCCCATCCCCAACAGCAGGAGAAAGACCTGCTGAAGCTCATTCCCCACTGAGCCTGGGGTGCCAGGAGGCAGGCAGGGAGCTGGAGGGGCTCAGGGGGCCGAGTACCAGGGTTAAATTTGGTTAGATTGGCTGCTAATCACCAATTCACCAGTACTCCTTGGAGTCAAGTGATTTGCTCTGCTCATTGATGGGGCTGCACCCCATGGATCCCAACACCAGCTCTTCCTCACCACAGCCAGGCTCCTCCGCAGGCTGCCAGCAGGGACCCTGCCCCAAAATCTCCTCCCAGCCTCCGCTGCCCTCCCCAAAGCATCCACCCATTGCTGCAGTCATATGTGTCATGGTATTTCTTGAGGTGCAGTTTATATTAAAAAAAAACCCAACCTCTAGACATTTTATAATTCCCCCTTTAAAAAGAAGGAATCTGAAAGCTCTTTGCTGTTAATTATTGATGATGAAACAAACATTCATTCCTTATCCCAGGACTGAACATTTGACCTACACTGCAAAGCCAAAACTGCCGATATTTGGGAAGAACTCCAGACCTGGATTTCAATTTCATGACTAACATCTGTCTTTCCAATAAAGTGGATTAAATCAATGCAACCAGTCTAATACATTTTAAATACTCAAAGTTCAATTCATTTTATATGAGCGTATGCCCCGTATGTTGTGCTGCCAAAATAGGTCACTGGGCTAAGAGCTCAAAAATAAATAAATTTAAATAAAGGTTTAAAGAAATTAAAAAGGAAAATTGCCAAAATTTACATGAGACCTTCTTTAATGCTTTGAAGAACGAAACTGCCATGAAGCAATGAGGTCAGGAGGAAATTTTGCCACTGGGGATCCCATTTTCAGCAGGGACACCCAGACCCGATGTTGGCCTGACACAGCAGAGGGGAGGATCTGGCAAAGCACAGCAGCAGCTCAGATGGACGGGGTGGAAGAAAAACACTTTGTAGGCTGCCTTTGCAGATGAAATGCAACCACATTTTCAGGCACCTCCAGCACATCAGCAGGCTGCAAAGTCTGCATGAGATTAAATATATGGGCATTATGTGACCTCTCTCCACTTTGTCTGACTCACTTTGCTGAAGCTTCAAGAGATGCACCAGAAGCCAGGAAAGTTGGAGATTTTACAGCACCCTGAATAAAAGATGGCCCCTGGTGTCCATGCAGGTTGCACCCTCTCTTGCCAAGGCCTGACCTAAGTCCTAGAAGTCCCCTCTGATGTTCACAACCCTAATGTCACAGGGAGGCTTTCACCTGGCTGCACGTGAGTGTGTCACACTTGGAAAGCCCCAGCCGGAGCAGGTCCCCCACAGCCGAGCCCCGAGCAAGCCCAGCCACACTCCTGCTCAGCCCCCTGCCCGGGGCTCTGCTTCGGCCACCCAGACCCCGTGGGACTCATTGTCACCCTCAAGGTCCGTGTAGTGCAGCGAGGGACGTGGCTGCCCAGCACAGAGGGCTCTGACAGACCCCGGCTGTCCCTCCTGGCACGGGGAATTGCCCTTTGCTCCCTCCCACCCCGAGCAGCCTGTGCTGACCAGCAAGATGAGTGTTATCCACACAGAAAAACTTGAGGAGAGGGAAACATGAGGAAGAGAGGGATGGAAGATCTGGAAAAGGGCCACCCTGGTGTGCAACCCTTTTCCCAGTCAGAGGGGTGGCTCTCCACATGGCTTCTGGCAGCACCTGTCCCTGAGCAAGGAGGAATTTTCAGGATTGGGGCACTCACATGTTTTCTAATTGCATTTCCCACTGACTCACGCTGTCCCGTGCTCTCCGAAAGACGGACGAGCATTTCTGGGGACCTTCTCCAGAAGATGACAGAAGGGAGAGAGGAGCACCCAGTGCTTGTGCTCGGCAGGGTGGGATGGGCAAGGGGCTGATTTTCCAGTGTGGTCATCTGAGGTGACCCCTGGGGACGCAGAGATGCTGCTGCCCAGCCCCACCGACCTCACCTGCGGCATCATCGGGCTCCTCGGGGGCAATAAAATTCTTCCCAACATCCGGAAGGGGAATTTCCCCTGCGGATGCGTGTTCCTTTAGCAATCACGCTCCCAGAAATAAATAAATAAATCAATAAATAAGCCCCGTGGGCCGAGTGCCCCCGTCCCCGGTTCCTCGGGGCGGCGGGGCAGGGCTCTCCCCCCGGCGGGGAAGCACCGGCCGCCCATCACCGCTCCGTTCCCGGCCGGGGCGGCGGCGGGCGGCCGGGCAGCGCCTTCCCGTCCTCAGCCAATTGCATCTTCGATCCCCGCCGGAGGACGGGGGGGTGCGAGGCGCGGGAGAGCCCCGGGGGCCGCTGGGGCGGGGGCTGCGGGCGGCGCGGCGGCAGGACCGGGAGGAAGAGGAGGGAGAGGAGCGAGGAAGAGCCCCGGGACGGGCAGCCCGAGGGGGTCGGGCCCCGCCGGCCGGCCCGGTCGCTTAAATGCAGCCCCTGGGACACCGGCTCCTCTCTGATGAGACCGCTCCAGGGCTGCCGGGGACGGGGAGTCGTCGTGGGGACCGTCACCCTCTGCCTGGCCGCCGGGTGGGCTCTGCAGAGTAAGTGTCGCTTCCTCCCCCACCCCCCCCGGCTTCCTCCCCTCGGCCCTTTCCTCTTCCTCCTCCTCCTCATCCTCCTCCTCGGCGCTACCCTCGGCTCAGCATCTGCCCGGCCGCTCCCCCGGGGATCCCCACGCTGGGCTGCCGGGAGGGGACGGGATTTAGGGGGGCTCAGGCAGGCTGGGGGTCGCCTAGGAAGGCTCATCCCCTCCTCCTGCTGCTGGGAGGAAGCGGGGGGGGCTGAGGGGTGCCAGCCCGGCCGCCCGGGCGAGGAACCGCGACCGTGGGGGCGACGAGCCCCACGCCTGCTCCCGGACGGGGCGGCTCCGATCAAGCCGCCGTTAGACCCCCGACACCCCTTCACCCCCCGAGTTCCCATCAACGGAGGGACAAGGCAGAGGAGGAGGAAACAATTCCCGGTTACCCAGCCCCACGGGCTTCGGGTCAGGCTGGGAAGTACGGCGGTGAAGAGGGAAGGTGGATTTAAAGCCACGGGTGGTGAGTGGGGACAGGGCAGCTCACTGAGACCCCACCGGTCCCCTCCAAGAGAGAGCCAGAGGAGGCTGCAGCCAGCCCCCACGCCTGCGAAGTGGGGTGGGCAGTGCCACCATTGGGTTTGGTTTGGACACCTTATGCTGTCTCCTTCATCATCAAGGTGACGCACAAGCAGGACACAGAAAGGTGAAGGAATCATAGAATGGTTTGGGTTGGAAGGAACCTTAAAGATCATCGAGTTCCAACCCCCTGCCATGGGCAGGGACACCTCCCACTAGAGCAGGTTGCTCAAAGCCCCATCCAGCCTGGCCTTGAACACTTCCAGGGATGGGGCATCCACAGCCTCTCTGGTCAACCTGTTCCAGTGCCTCACCACCCTCACAGTAAAGAATTTCTTCCTAATATCTCATCTAAATCTCCGCTCTTCCAATTTAAAACCATTACCCCTTGTCCTGTCACTACACTTCCTGACAGAGTCCCTCTCCAGCTCTCCTGTAGGCTCCCTTCAGATATTGGTAAGGAACTGTCACCGCAGTTTGCGAGCTGTCCCCTCCCTCATTTTGGAGCTCCTGCGTGGAGGCTCCTCTCTGGCAGCCCTTTCCCACCCACCCCCTGGCTCGCTGCTGGCCCGGCCATGCTGCTTTGGCCACATCTGGGGACACAGAGCTGTGCTCCCCGCTCTGACTCTCAGCCAGGCCAACACTTCGGAGAGCAGTAGCGTGCCAGGGACGGCAAAACTCACCAGAACCCTCTTCTGCTGGGCGTGAAGGGTCTGGCTGTGCCGGCAGCAGCACAAAGGGTCTGGCTGTGCCGGCAGCATGAAGGGTCTGGCTGTGCCGGCAGCATGAAGGGTCTGGCTGTGCCAGCAGCAGGGTGCAGTGGCCTCTGACAGGGCGCTGCGGTGGGTGTGATGTTTGCTCTCAGGGCTGATGCAGCGCTGTTTGCCTTAGACCCGTTCGGGTGATGGAGGAGGATGGTATTAAAAATATTTTTGAATGGTTATTGCGTTGCTTTTTTTGGCTTCGCGTGCTGGAGAGGAAGGGAATCTGTTTGCAAATATTTTAATGGAAAGTGGTTTTTTTTTTCTTATATTTACCTTGCATTCACATATTCAAAGCAAAGCCATGCCTTTATCAAAACATAAAAGGGTCACCGTGGTGAGATACTCAGCCCCTGTCTAGGCAGAAACAGAGCAAAAGGGCTTTAAATAAACACACGGAGCAGAAAACAATTAGAACAATTTGCAGTGATTACCAGAGGTTCCCGTCTGTTCTGTTTCTCTGGCTGGCACAAACCCCTTTTTGACAGCTCTGGTTAGTCTCTCCTGCACACGGGCTGAACGGATGGACCACAGCTCAGCTGAGGGTGAGCTGGGCTGCCCACAAAGTGTGGTGTCCCTGCTGGGGGGACTGGGCAGCGTGAGCACAAGATGCCCACAAAGGTGGAACCCCAGGAGCTTTGTCTTGGAAAAAGCCTAGGTCCTATCTGGTTTAAAAAAGGTATGGAGTGGCTGGGGCTTTCTCCTGTGCAGGTGCCATAGGTGAGGACCTGGGAATCAAACCGTCTTCTCCAGCTTCCCTTGACCTTCTGAATTCTGCTGGAGATCCCAAATAGAGTGAAGTCAGCTTGGAATTCATTTACCCATCTCCCCCCATTTGTGGTTTCTCTGAGGTTTTGCTGGTCATAAAGGGTTCATATTTTTTTATAAGATTTTTAAGAAGAATTTTTTTCCCTTGGACTTTTTTTTTCTTTCTTTCTCTTTTTAAACCATTCTTTTCTCCGAAGACTTTGCAAAACCTCCAGGAGCATCCCCAGGGGTCCTGCTTTGCACTCCTTCAGCATCACTGAGGGTCTTGTCCTCCCTCCCTGATGGGTTACGGATATTTACATTATTTTTTCAGTTCTGCTCTTGCAGTCAGGCTGTTCCCACACTGTGAGGAGAGCGGGCGAGCTGCTCCAAGCCAAACTAGGGAAAGGCACTCAGCAGCGAGGTTCACCCTGTGCTTCATTTGCCTTTTGTCTGGTTTGATTTTTTGCAGGTAGATAACAAGATAACAGTCTCTAGCCAAGCGTCTCAAACATGCCACTAATTATTAAAAAAATAATGTATGCCCATTGAAACTCAGATATTTGGTGTTTATCCAAATCTTCATGCAGAAATACCCACGCTAGCAGAAATTATTGCAGTTACACATTAAACTAAATGGTCAGTCCAGTTTCACAGTGTTATGAGCAGCTCCATAATCACATCAGTGATGTGATTAAATCAAATATTCTTTCACATGCATTTTTGCCTGGAAATCATCAAGAACATGAAGTCCCTGACTTCACATGAAACTCCGTACCTCTGGCTGCATGCGATTTATCTGCACTGGCATATAACTGGCTGCCTTTACCAAGCTGTTGTCTCGAATGTTGATTACTCATCCCGAAAACATGAAGTTCTTGCCAAGTCTTCACATGCTTAACTTCTTGCTACAGTTCTGGCTTTTGGGGGATGGCAATTAATTAATATAATAGGTTACCTTGGCCATGGCGATTAAACTTTCCATTTAAACGCAGGATTTTAAAGGAAAGCCAGTTACTGATGAACACAAAAGCATTGCTCAGTTTTTAGGAAGTGTTATGCTCCCTTACCCAACAAGACTCTTCCGAACTCTCTCCTCTTGGGTATTGAACCACTGAAACACATGCAATTGCTTGTTCTTTATGGTGGAAACGTTTCTCCTGACTATTATTGATTAAAAATGTGTATTTAGTCTTCAGTTTAAGTATGCGTGTTCCTTTTATGGTCAGCAGAAAGTAAGAGAAACTGCAAAGAATAATCCATCCTCTCTATAAACAGCCCACTGCGACGGGTGGGATGAACCACCCCCCAGAGGTCCCTTCCTGCCCAGGACAGTTGGTGTAGCATCACCTCCACACTCATCGTCCTCCTTTGTCTTTCAGCTCCTGGAGGAGTATCGTTAGTTGTCCCACAGCCCAACATCAACGCAACAGTGGCACAAAACATCTTGCTCTCCGTTGAATACTTTTGCAGAGGTGTTGCCACCATCGAGTGGAAGCACGTGTCGAGCTGGGGCACCACCAAAATCGCTGAGTGGAAAAGTGGGAATTATGTCAACATATCCACGGTGTACAAGGGCAGAGTGACTACTTTTGAAAATGGCTCTCTACAGCTTCTGAACGTGGGCATGAGAGATGCAGGCTACTATTTCATCACTGTAACGGAGGAGTATGGAACCAACACCTACGGCACCATCATAGTTAATGTTTATGGTACAAACTAGATGGGAGTTCTTGGCTTTACCCAGTGTTTAAACATTAATCTGCTCCCACCTCGAGTACTGTGTCTAGTTTTGGGCTCCCTACCACAAAAAAGACATCGAGGTGCTGGAGTGGGTCCAGAGAAGGGCAACAAAGATGGTGAGGGGTCTGGAGCACAAGTCTTATGAGGAGAGGCTGAGGGAGCTGGGGTTGTTCAGCCTGGAGAAGAGGAGGCTGAGGGGAGACCTTATTGCTCTCTACAACTACCTGAAAGGAGGGTGTAGAGAGATGGGGGTCGGTCTCTTCTCCCAAGTCACAGGCGACAGGACAAGAGGAAATGGCCTCAAGTTAGGCCAGGGGAAGTTCAGGCTGGATATTAGGAAAACGTTTTTCACTGAAAGGGTCATCAGACATTGGAATGGGCTGCCCAGGGAGGTGGTTGAGGCACCATCCCTGGAGGTGTTCAAAAGACAGGTTGATGTAGTGCTGGGAGGTATGATTTAGTGATGGTGATGCTTCTTGTTTGTTGTGCGGGTGTCTATTTTTGTCAGTTAGGTTGATGGTTGGACAAGGTGATCTTTAAGGTCCCTTCCAACCTAGAAGATTCTGTGATTCTGGGATATTCAATTTGATAATATTTTTTTTTCTGTCCTCCCTGCAGAGATTATCTATGAAGATTTACATTTTGTAGCAGTTGTCTTTGCATTTCTCGCTGCAGTATCTGCCATTTTGATCTGCTTCATGTGGCTGTGTAATAAATCTCTGCATCTATTTCAGAAGAAGACAACACACAAGCTAACAGGTATCTCTCTCTGAAAATGCAGTCAAAGCATAGGGTTTTCAAGTCTGAATTGTGAACCCAAAATTCATTTGTGATTTGAGCTATTAAAGTGCTAAGCAGGGACACTGAGAAACAAGACTGGAAGAGCTCAGTTCAGTTAACCTGTTCAACTCTTCACTAGCTGAGGCAACTGAATAATAGGTATTTAGTTGCAGAACAATCCACAGGACACCTACCTTATACATTTTACATCAGAAATCACAAAACACTTCCCAACTTGCTAAGTGCAAAACTTAGGGAGAAAAGGCTAGAGCTGCAATAACCCCCACGTCAGAGGGCATGAGGCAAAATCAAGAGCACCAGCAACGCTCTCAGGTTCTGCACCAGAAGGTTGTCTCCTGGGGGAAAATACCTAAATGGTCCTTGGGAGTTGCCCCCATCTCACTTCATGGAGGACTGCACCCCTTCCTCTCCCCTCAAACTCCCCTTTCATCTGTCCTCACATTTGATCCGGACTCCACCTTTGTGGACTCCAACAAACACTGACTAATATCAAACCCAGACTCCTAACAAGTGCCAGAGACACCAGTCATGACAAGCAGATCAAGGGCTCCACTGAAGGGAACATTCACGTATTAGAGAAGACTTCCCAAGCCACAGCCAGGGATATTCAGCCTAGACAGCAAGGCAAGGTGCCACGCTACAGGCCTGGGCTCAGGCTTTGGGCACATCCTGGGAACAGGAGGTTTCTTTTACCACTTCAAAACATCTCAGGCATTTCCCTCCCTTCTTTGGAAGTACACATCCACTAGTGGTTTCTTGCCCTGTTGGTAAAAGGTCTGTATTTCTTCTCTAATAAGTGCTGCTTAAGCTGTTACATTACAAAAAGCAGCCAACGTATCAATATTTTACTAGACCAATGCAGACACTCAAGAACCCTAAGCCTCACAGCCCAGACTTCGTGTCAACTCTGCAAAACCTAATATGAGAGGAAATTAATTTGGCTCCAGCTCTCTCTTCCTTTCTGCCACTCACCTCCAGCTCTAAGGGCTGCTGTGGTTTCCATGGTGCACACACCACTCACAAGCTTCTGTAGCTACTGAAAATTTTCCTGTCATGCCAGAATATACAGGTTTTTGTTTGTTTAAAGCCTCTCCTTCCTCCGGTTAAAGCCAATCTTCCTACAAAGCCAGAGTTTTACAAAGTCTGAATCAAATACACGTATTTGGCAGACTTCAGGAAAACCACAGCTCTGGAGACTTGTTCTGTCATCTCCCAGAACACGATCCAAAGCCAGGACCTAACTTCTGCCCCAATTCCACCTTAGAGGAGCGGTCCTTTCAAAAGCCAGGAAGAGAGGTGGAAGGACAGGTCCTGTGGGCTTTAAGCTTTCCTAGTGCCTTTAGTTGTGGAAGAAACCAATGTCACTTTAAAGATTGTGAGGGACTGTCTATGCAGTTAAATATTTTGAAAAGATGCATTTAAAACCTAATTGTAGATGAGTAAGGTTGAGTTAATATTAAAAAGTTCAAAATGTCACAGCATTGTTAATTTTGGAACGCTGACCTTCCAATCCATTTGCCAATCAATAATAATATCCTTTTATTTGCAGCAAGTACAACTGAAGAGATTGAACTGGAAACCATTGAGTGTTAGCCAAGGACTGTCTCATAACAAAAATAACAATTCTACCTCAGGAGAAAATATTGGCAAGGGAAGCAAGAAGAAACCTAAAAGGTAAAACGTTTGTGACTACTGTAGGAACATCCTGACTGGCAAATTAATCAGACATGAACTCAGCAGTGACTGATGGAGATGTTTTGACCTGTTCAGAATTTGGCTCTGCTAGCTAAGGTCAACGTAAAAAAGAATACGCTTTCACGCTGAGCACGAACGCATTTTTGTGGCTAACTAATAAAATCTACAGCCTTTACCACTCTTAAAAATAACCAACCAACCAAGCAAGCCTCTAAGATCAACCCATAAAGGAAATGATCATGGCCTTTCCACCTGTATTTTGGCTACAGCAAGTCTCCTATTAGAGACAGAGCAGCCATTAGTACCCTTCAACATAATTAATTTAATGTCTAATTACAGTATTACATTAAAAAATTAATTGCAAGGATTGGATCCTGTTTATTGCACCTATGCTGCTACTTTGGGGCGTAAGGAATTTCCCAAAGCTCTGAAGACAAACTGCAATTCTTTATGAGACAAAACTGAAACAACACCGAGCTGGTCAAAGTTCTCCCACTTACGTTTCCAATTGCTTACACCGCCCCGGGATATTAACACACATTTTATGACATTGCAAGAGAAGGTTATGAAAACAAGGAACTACGCACAGGCACTGAGGAGGACGCTGTCTCTACTGATTAGAGTGGTCTGATAAAACACTGACACATCACACCAGCGGGGTGGCTAAATGCTAAAGAGTTTCATTGTGGAAGACACCACGTCCTTTGCAAAGTTAGACTACTTGCCAGTGGGCTATCTGGGAAGGAAAAGTTAAAACAGCATTGCTTTGTAATTTAGTATTTACAATTATGGTTCTGAAATTGCTCTTGTTGAGAAGCCACCATTGCTCTCCCATGTTGTAAGGAAACATGAAGAGATCTAACTAGTGTTTCCTTGAATCTCCATATTGCACTTACATTTTCCACCTGCAGATCTGCCGTGGGGAGTAACATTTCCTTTTGTGAGTGAGAAAGAACTAAACTGACCGAGCTTCAAATTATCCTGTTTTGCTTTTGTAAAGAGAAGAATTTTGCAGTGTGAAATAAACTTTGAAAATGTAAGAGACCACGGACTAGTCTGTGTCTGCAGATTGCCACGGGGCTTTTTGAACCGAACTTCTACTGCCTCTCTCCCACTTCAGCTCACTTGTTTGCAAAAAGCTTTTACAAGAGAGGCTGCCAGAGCCTCCCCTCTGGTACAATAGGTTAGATTTTGAAAAATAAAGAATTTCTCACCAGGCACATCAGGATGTAAACAGGCTTTCCCCAAGGCACCCTGTCCACAATACCTTTCAAGAGTCATCCCCAGGCTGAAACTGCACAAAGGCCCTCTCACTCACTCATAAATTCGGGCACCAGATTCATCTGGTTGCTCCTTCCTGCATCTAGAAGAGGTCAAAAAAGGTGAGAAATTGAAAAAAAAAAATAATCTCAGCTACAGCAAATATTGGGAAACTAACAGTTTGTTCTAATTCTTCCCTTTAACTATGTATTACCAGTCTTTTGTATCTTTGAGTGAATCAAACTTTGATGACACAGAAGTTGGAAGTGCATCTTTTAATCACCAAGCTTGAAGTACTCTCTAAAGTATCCGTATGGGACACAGAAAACATTATTAAATGGGTTTTTTTCTGTTGATCTATTTTATTTTTTTTTAATCCCTAAATCTTAGAAGTTGAATGAGAAATTATGCATTAGGCTGAGCTGAGTATATGGCAGGTGCTCTGCCAGACTTACTTAAACAGGACAAAAAGCGCCGCTTACACGTAACACCATTATTATCTGCAACCTTGACTTGAATATTGTAATTGGCAAAGGGAAAGTCAGGGAAGGGATGCAGGCATGAATGACCTTCTGAATGCACTGCTTGAATTATAGAGATCACTTATGCTTTTAAACTACAGTATTTGAAAGCTGGGATGAAAGTAGGAAGTGACTGCTTAAAATTCTTGAATTTAAGATGCACTGTAACAGCAGTGGGAAGTTTCCAGCTGGCACAGTTGTTCTACCTCTCTCAGCTTGGCTAAAGATACAGCAGCTTCAGGCACCCACCTCTGGCAACTGACGCTGGTGCCAGCCTCGCTTTTAGGTAGTAATATCCTAAATTAACAGGGATGCAAAGAATATTCAGTGAGGACACACAGTACAGTTAGCTTATGTACTGCTTCACTTATAGACAGTTCCTCACCCACAAATTCTATCCAGAATTTAATATGCTTACTCTACACTTGTAAAATATTCACGTTTTCCAATATCAGTGTTTGTCAATCCATACCATTAATGTCTATATAATGTCTATAACATTACTCTTTACTGTGAGGGTGGTGGAGCACTGGAACAGGTTGCCCAGGGAGGTGGTTGAGGCCCCTTCCCTGGAGATATTCAAGGTGAGGCTCAACGAGGCCCTGGGCAGCCTGGTCTAGTTGGGGGTGTCCCTGCTGACTGCGGGGAGGTCGGACTAGATGGCCTTTGGAGGTCCCTTCCGGCCTGGGCAATTCTATGATTCTATAATGTTAATATCTGATATACAAAAGGTGAGGCCAAGCTGGCTGTAGCAGTTTGCTACACTGGAGGTGACCAAAGCATCTAAAGTCTTCTGGCAAGGTCTTAAAGTGCAAGTTCAGAAATTAATAGCCATTATTACTCCAGTGGTAAACTCCATGCAGAACAGCAGCAAATTTATTATTTAGAACATTCCAAGCGATCAAAGGGATTAAGGCATTTTCCATTTAAATTTTAATTAAAGAGATGTCCAAGTTCACAAGATTGCTTTGGCAATCAATTGTCAAGGTCTTAATCATCTGTTAACGTTGTAATTTCATGTTCAAAGATGCACCACCAAGAATTTCAAGACTGTCCCTGTTAGAAGCCTAATCAGTTTGTTTTCCATTATAATTAGGAATCCCCGTGTATTTAACACTAAAGGACAGATTTGCCAGGTCCCTAACCTTTCTTTTTTTTTTTAAATTTTTTTTGCAGCTGGGCTGGAAGTCTTGAGAAACATCTTCACTGTTAATGGGCAGCACCTGCACTTCTGCAACACAAGAGAAGTCCTCTTGCATCCGCTGTTTCTTTTCAGAGGGGGACAAATCCTGCAGCTGCAAGACACTGACACCTCCACAGTGATCCTATTACTTGGCAAAAAAGCTGTTACTACACACAGACCTCTCGATTTAGGTTAAAAACAGTCAAGTGTTAAGACACATCTGTTTCACATGCTCATCTTTTAATTACTAGTATGAGAAGACTCATTGTGTAGCCAACACAGTCAAAGCAGCCTCATTATAACCAGATGCAAACAGATGCTCTGCTGCTCGATAAGGGACAAACTCCCTCTCTGCCTGCAACCATGGAGTCTCTGCTAGACCAGCAACTGGCCCTGGCATCACAGGTGTTGCCTAAGATTCACCCATCTTTCAAGAAGATTAAAAGACTTTTCAACCTTTTTTTCAGCTTTTTTTTTTTTTTCCATTTTTCTAAGTCTTCTTGGGTAACCCACCAGGACCTGGAAGGGAAACCCTTTCTCTCTCACAGTTCAGTTGTACAGAAGCAAGTACTTCCAGGGACTGAACTAAGAAGATGTTCCACACCGGCAAACACCAAGGGAAGTACAACAGCTGCTGTGGATACACACAGAGCAGCAGCTGCCCACAAGCAGTTGCTTAGAATGTATTTCCTACAACTATTATTTATTGCTCAAGAAAACAGCAAAATAACAACTGTCACCATACAAGCATGAAGTTCAACTTGAACATGCTCTATGTGCAAGAAGTTCTCATATATATATATATATACACACACACAATATGGACATAAATCTAAATCAGTTCATACAGACAGCTTTCTGAAAGACCTTTAGCAATTAATCATCAAACAAAAGAAAAGCTTTGTGTAACACCCTCCTAAAAGCTTCAAGAGGGCTACGATTACAACCAAAAAAGACAAAAACACGACATTTTTAATTTTAAAAGAATTCAAAAGAGCTGATCTTCAGGAAGGTATTATAATTTCCCTGGATAATAATCAGTGCCAGTGAGGGGAAAAGAAAAAAAGAACAGCACAAGCGTGGAGATCCAAGGTCTACTGCATTGGAGTCACCTGCTTGTAACCAGATGTAAATTTATAGGTCACCCACAAACTCAAATTATCAGGAGACTCTTGCAAGGAGAGTGAGACCCCTTCCTTTACATGCTTTCAAAAAACAAGGACAGAAAACACAAGCAAAGTAACCGGCACCACACGGGCTCCTCTGCAGCCATCAGAGAGGAAAGACGTTTGCCACAAGCTGCGACTTCAAAACACTCTCAACTTAAACAAATCACCCAGTGAATACATCTCTTAGAAATGGGTCACCCAGAAGCCATATCAAACCCCAACTCAAGAACATCACACAGTGAAGACTGTTCCCTGAATCCTTGAAGTTGTTTAGCTTTAATTTTTGGCAAAGGAGCTCTGCTTCTCCTGTTGTCCCACTTCCAATCAAACAAGTCCATCATCTTCCACAAGGAGAGCCCTTCCTTGGGGTATAAACCACTAAAAGGTGTGCCGATAGCACAATTCAATTCTACTCATTTTCTTCTTTCAGAAATATTTGCAAAGACGTATTGAGAAAAGTTAGGGGCATGGGGGGAAATGCAATAACTCTGAGCAGACACGTTTCATGCAGGAAAGACTACTGAATTTAATTTTATCAAAGAAAAATACATGAATTAGTCAGCTATGTTACTCTACCTAGAGGAGCCTGCAGAGATACAGCTGAAAGGAACTTTTCGAAAAAGTTGTATTTTATGCCATTGAAAAAAGTTTTATTACAAACACTACAGTGGAAGTATCTGTACAGGAATAAGTTTGCTTTTGCCTTCTAGTGTTGCCCCATAGGTTCCATTTCTCTTTGCTGCAGGGGCAGGGATGGTGCGTGGCACAGCAACAATTCAAAGCCCCCACGGAGAGGCCGACAGATTATTAGCAGGGAGTCAGGGCGGCCATGAGGAGTTCCATTTTATACACAAAGTTACGCCCTTCCATTTTATTCCACTGAACTTCCTTGAAGGGCCCTCGGAGATGATTCCACTTGTTGTCTTGCAGGACATCACCTTTGGGGAGATCCTTGCACTGACTCCGTGGAAACTGAACCATAACTTTGCTGCCACTTTCCGGACCGTTACGTACTGTGATGAACAAAGAATTTTATAAGCATTTTTACCCTGTAGGAATTCCTCATATTAAATATCCTTCCTCACGTATGCTATAGGTTACTCCTACTCACTTCCAAACACGCTGAAATCAAACAAGGGAGATTACCTAACTTTTTAAAGCTTTTCTCTTTGAATTTTCCCCTCTTTCATCCCCCACTTTTGTATGATTCTGTTGCCTTAGCACTACACGTTCTTTGATAGAGCAAACCAGAGAAACATTCGATAAAAAACCCCAGGTGTATGCTTTACAAATGCATTTCTTTTTTCCTAACAATGCTGGGAAGGGCAAAGGTATTTTTGCCGATTCTCACCCTGGATGCATCCCCATCGTTCTGTTGAAAAAAGCAATTGAAAAGATATACTTTCTAGTGGATTCATCTCAAACGGACGTGAATGAAATCACTCAGGACAGCTGTTACTTTTAATCATAAAATTCTGCAAGCCTGGTGGAGGGATGGTGATGTTCCACTGGCTTGGATGGGAAATTCTATGTTTTGATGTTAGGGGTGGGGCTGGTGTGTGTTTGTTTTTTAATAAACATGCAGTTAGAAAGATAACAGTTTTCTCCTCACCAAGTCAGCCTTCTAGAAAGGGACAACTATCAGGCTGACCAAATGTAATTTCTCCTTCATAAATTGATGCTGACTATTCTCCATCACCTTCTTGTCACTAACATGTTTGGAAACTGCTTCTGGGACTGTTTTTTTCCCCCTCATCTTCCCAATAATTGCAATAAGGCTGACAAGTTGGTAGTTCCCCAGGTTCTCCTTCTTGAATGTAGGATGTGACATCTACCTTCTTC